ACCTGGGGGCCCCCCCTTCCCCGGGAAGGGGGTGGGCGGGGGGGTCACGCGTCTGCGCCGCGTCTGCGCCGTGTCCTACGTGCAGCGCGTGGTCCGTGTGCGTGGTACCTGCGTGTGCGGGGAGCCCGCGGGCAGTCGCCCACGCGTGTGCAGGGACGCGTGCGGTGCGTGTCCCGCGTGTGGGGCCTCCGCGTGTGGCAGCGTGTCGGCGCGACGGTGGGCTTCCCACGTGTCGTGCGTGCAGCGTCACGTATGCGGTGTGCGCGCAGCGCGGCGGTGTTTGCGTGCGGTGTGTGTGCCTGCACCCGTGGTGTCCGTGTGTCCGTACCAGGCCGCAGCACGTGAGCGTGGGCTCTGCGTGCCCAGGGCCTGGTGCCGGCGCAGGGCCAGCCCTATGCAGCGCCAGCACGGTGTTGGTTCCCGCGCAGCGCCAGCTCCCGCGTCGTGCCAGCGCCGGTGCAGCGCTGGTCCCTGTGCGGTGCTGGTGCCCCTGCAAGCCAGGGCCCAGGCGGTGCCAGCGCAGCGCTGGTCCCCAGCCGGTGCGGGGCCCCGGGCAGCGGCAGTGCCCGTGCGGTGCCGGTTCGGCGAGGGTTCCCCGGGCAGCGGCAGTGCATGTGTCAGTCCAGCGTCAGGCACGCCACACCGCAGCGTGCCAGTGCGGTGCCGGTGCTATTCCTGTGCGGTGTTGGTGCCAGTGCAGCGCCAGTGCCGGTGCAGGGCCAGTGCCCATGCAGCGTGGGTCCCGTACAGTGCCGGTACCGTCCTGGTTCCGTGCAGTGCCGGTGCCAGTGCCATTCCCGTGCAGTGCTGGTGCCGGTGCGGTGCCAGCGCCGATGCTGTTCCCGTGCAGTGCCGGTGCTGGTGCCAGCGCCGTTGCCGTGCAGTGCCGGTGCCGGTGCCGTTCCCGTGCCATGCTGGTGCCGGTGCCGTTCCCGTTCCCGTGCGGTGTCGGTGCCGGTGCCGTTCCCGCTGTCCCCGCTGTTCCCGTTCCCGGTGCGGCGCGGGTGCCGCTCAGCCCCGCCGCAGCTCGGTGCCGCCCCCGGCCCCTG